CACGGGGGGCCCGCAGAGGAGCAGACAGGTGAGCTGGGTCCTTGCGCCGCCCAAGGCCAGGGGACAAGCGGGGAGAAGGGGCTGTCAAAGGAAAGGCGGGGACTCTTGCGTGACGCGGAGTGTTGCTTGCACACCAGAGGCCACCAGGCCTCACGTGCAGCCGGGGGAGTGAACGGGCTTGCTCCCGTTCCACGGGCGAGAAGACAGAGTCTCAGGCTGGAAAACCGGGCGCTTAGACCTGTGTCGGGGGCTGCCTGCCAAGAAAGCCTCCTGCCGCAAGGGGGTCCGGGCGGGCGGCCTGGGCTAGCCGCATATTCCGGAACAAAACCACGAGAGACGAGAGACGAGGCCCGCCAGGAGGGGTGAGCCAGGGCGTGGCAACCTGGACACAGGGCAGGACGGAGGGTCGTCCACAAGGATGCAGCCCGGCTCCAGCCTGTCCCTTCCCGACCTCGCAAACAGGATGGCATTGCCCTGGGCGCTGTCTGAGGCCCCTGGCGGTCCTGAGGTCTTGTTTTTCTAGGTCCTGGTGTTAAAAGCCCTGGGCAGGGACCACAAGCTGTGCCTTCCTGTTTTGCAGGTGAGAATGTGCTCTCTCAACACCTTTCCTGAAGTGACCTGAGGACCGCGTGTGAGACAGGGCAGAGCTCTGTGTGCTGGGAGGTGGCTGGCGGCCGCACAGAGGTGTTTTTCCGCAGGATGAAGGCGTCTCTGCGCTCCCTCCGTGGTGGTGCCCGGGTGTGGGCCTCCTTGGCGGGCGGGCTGGCCCCCACTGGGGACTCCAGGTCTGCTTTGAACCACTCCAGGGCTTCTAGGCGTGTTCACCGAACAGCTTCAAATTCAGGACTGAGAAGAGAAACAAGCCATGCGCCAAGCAAGTCCTTGCCCCGTTTAGATCGTGGTGCTGGAAACCAGGGGTTCTGTGCCTTTGAAGTTGCGATAAGCATGTGTGTGGCTGGGAGATGCGACTTTGTCCCACCTGGGACACCATGCCGGTCGTGGACAGGGCTTCTGGGGCACAGCAGGTGAGCACAGAGCTGCAAGGAGGCCCGCGGGCCCACGTTGAGAGTTCACGGGACGTGTTTGCAGAAGGAGCCAACGAGTGGCCGCCGCCATCAGCTGGCACTGGTGCCAACTGAGACATGGCGGATGCTGGTCTGTGAGGAGTCCGAGTCCAGTGAGGAGGTGGAGACAGAGTCAGACTGCCATGGCTCCAGGAAAGCGCCGCTTCCAACTCCACTTCCAACTCCACAAAGCAATCTGGGGGCGATCAGGAAGCTCCCCAGAGAAGGGGGTGCCTCTAGCAATTTCCTGGGGCAGACAGAGAAGAGGAGGAACAGTCTGTGCTGAGCTCGGTAAAAGTGGTGCGAGTGTGCCTCCTGGGAACCATCTGCTGGTTGGTCCTTGCGAGGCTGCCCCTGCGTCCTGAGCCCAACGCGTTGGCTTAACCATCTGACATCTGTCTTTCTCACGGCTGGTGCCCTCCTCTGGGAAGGCACGGCTGGAGTGACTTGGCGGCTGCACTCGTGACTCAGAGACTAAGGCACCAGCCCAGTAAACCCACGCAGCACACCCGAACGGGATCGCCGACGAGCTCCCCGAGAGGCACCGGGCTGGAAGCAGGCGGGTCTCAGGAGCTGGCTGGCGGGGCCCCGCGGGTGCGTGCTGTTCGGAGAGGTCTCCTTTCCACGCACGCCCTTTGCAGCCCTTCTCGGGCCCCTTTCGTGGCTCCTTGGCAGCTGGGGGCCCTGAATGCTAGAGATCCAGGCAGGAGCTCCCCACAGACCCACGACGACCGTTGTCGCCCCCAAAAGGTGACGGGGCCCGGACCCCATCGTGGTGCGGTACCTTGTGATGCCAGGAGAGCTGAGCAGTCAGAGCTGACACTCAGCTCGGTGTTGTCTCCGGACGGATCCTTCATTCATTCGTTCACCAGGCGTATGTTCATCTATCTACTGAGAGGCGGCTGTGTGCCAGGCATTGAGACGGCAGTAGGGACCAGACGGCGGACAACAGGGGTGGCGCTGCTGTCAGCGTGGAGGTGTGGGGATGCGTGAGAGCAATTAGCGCGTGCAGGAATCCGGGTGTCTCGGGAACCTCTAATGTTCCTGGCAACTGCTCCATCTCAGATGAACCCGGGGGTTGAGGAAAGCAGTGGCGAGTGGGGTG